TGTTGGCTGTTATGGAGTACCCCATTGCCAGTGATAGGATGTTTATTGGGAAACTTAAGCTTCCTGATATACACAGTAAACACTGAAACAGAAGTAGGAGATCTATATCCGGCTAAACTATGCTTGTGTCCATAGTTAAATCACTAGCAGCTGTGATAACAAATCTTACAAACACTGTTACAAAAGGTCACCAATTTTTACTGCCACAGAAATGAATGTTTATTTTTATGCAGAAGATGATGCTGGTTTATACTTATGCCATTTGGAAAAAAAAGAAAAGCAAAAAAAAAAAGACTTGACAGCAACTATAAAACTCAGAATGTTTTAGGAAAATACTAAATGTGTTCTTCTAAAATATGAAAAAAAATTATGAATGAAATACTTCTGTAACAGCTTTGACTTTCTACATATTTTCAGAAGGAGCAAATGTTAAGCAAAGGAACAAATGGAACAATTTCTTTATAACTGATTCCTACAAGCCCTATCATGCTATAGATATGAAAACCTGAGCTTAATCCTTACGTATCTGTATCAATTAAGTAAATTAACCTCACAGCACCTTATGAGATACAAACTTTATTTTTGTGGTTGATCAAGATTCCCTGCAATACATGGTTAAATGAAACAAAACAAAAAACCCCAATCAAGAGCACTTTAACATATTCAAAATAATAATGTACGCTACTACTACATCCCTGTTTGCAGCACCTATTTAGACCTTAAATCACCAACAAAATTTAAAAATAATTCTAAAGGAACAGTGAACCAGAAAATTGCAAGTTAGATTTCTTCCACAGGCAGTAAAGTAATTCTTTGGGAAAGTGAGATTCTGATATTTCACAACAGTTAACAGGAATAAGCTACACAAAGGGATCTTAAGATTTATTAGTTTAACATATAGGATGCAAAAGCCACAAATCAAGCCCAAAGCTCTAAGATAGACATAGCAGTAATTATTTTGTTCAGAAATGCGGAACAAAGATAAATCCTATATAAACTGAAAGAAGCAACTGCTGCTTTTCAGTACTTCTCAGCATTGTTTGGGCTTTACTTTCATGGGTTTAAGTAGTTTTCTACATTCGAAAATTTTACACTTTGGTGTTTTTCAGAAATGACTCCCCCAGCCTCTCTCTTTAGGATAAAATCAAGCCAAATCTATAAATCATCCAGCACACTAAATTATGGATACTAATGCTATATTGTAATATAGGTAAAACAATTTAAGTATCTGATTTGACTATAACTTCAGGAAAATACTTAATGACTGTACTTGATCAGAAAGTATTTCTAACATGAGGTCACTGCAGTGATTAAACCAGACTGTGAACAGTTGAGAACAATGCTCCCTAGGTAGATCTGTCTGTGAAAGAATTAATTTCAACACATACTGCAGCATTTTGAAGACAGATCTGCCTACCATAGGTATAAGGCAATACACATGTTTTTACATGCGATTAAGACTTCAAAAGAAGGCTGCTTCTGGTCTATTGTAATCTCATCATAACACTGAATGAATTGTTAGCAGGGATCTGGGTTTTCCATTTACTGTGGAAAAACATGTATTTTCTCCTTATTAGGAGAAAAAAAAGTGAATTTTCTCCTTTAAGAGAGAAAAACATGGGAAACCTATGTTTCCCTTTGCAGACTGAAAGCCCCAGCTTGCAAGGGGCTTCTTGGGGCTGGCAGGAGTGGGAGAAGGGTGATCAGGCAGGGGGTGCCACGTGTGTTTGCGCCCATATGTACATGGCAGCCAGGTAGCACAGTAGAGAGCAGCTCCCAACAAGTAAATCTATAGGGGAGCATAGAGGAGATGTGGAGGGGTTGTGGGGGAGAGGCGTAGGCAAGGCATCAGGAGAGTATGGGGGGGCATTTGCCCCCCAAATGTGTGTGCCCACAGTGGGAATGGGGCTGCAACGTGGCTGGACCAACATGGACAGGAGCCTCCTCCATGGCCCAGCAGGCAGGACCTGGTACAAGAGGGCAAAGCAGGGTGGTGAGACACGTTGATGCTGTCAGGACCACCAGCCAAGGACGGGGTGGGGGGCGGGAGAGAGACGGAACGGGGGTGACAGCTGACACAGAGGTCCTGGTGGTGGTAATACTGAGTCTCCCTGCCCCACTGCGCCCTCCCATGCTGGGTCCTGCCTGCTGGGCCATGGAGGTAGCTCCTGCCCATGACAATCTGGCCAGGCTGCAGCTCTGTGCCCACTGTGGGGGGCACATGCCTCCCATGCCACCCCACCGAAGCAAAGCCTATGGTCAGGGCACTCCCCCTGCCCTACACACCCACGCCCTTCCTTAGACACTGGGAGGCTGGGGCCTGGGGGCTGCAAGCCAGGAATGAGAGGCACCAGTGAGGAGGGAGGGGGGCTGTGGGTCAGGAGTGAGGGACACTGGCAGGGATGGGAAACTGGGCCAGGAGTAAGGGGCACAGGCAGGGTTAGGGGGTGGGGGGCTGTGGTTTGAGAGCAAGGTGAGCTGCCGGGCTCAGGGGGCTGCAGATTGGGAGTGAGGGGCACCAGCAGGACTGAGGGGGGAGGGGCACCAGCAAATCAGGGCTGCTCAGTGCTACAAAGCAGCAGGGGAGGATAGCTACAGCTGGACCCATGTCCTGATTAGTGAAAGGGCAGGGGGAGCTCTAATTTTCTATGATAAAACCAAAATCAAATGTCAAAATATATAGGTATTTAGAATTTATTTTAACTATTGAAGCACTGGGGGCTTCCAAATTGCTTTAAAAATGTAAATATATCAGTAAAATATTGTGTTCAACTAGTACCTATATATAGTGGTGTTTCATTTTAAATTGTGGGAAAATGTGGATTTTGGGTGTTTTAATCAGCAAATTTTGGATTTTAAACAGAGAAAATCAGGATCCCAGATTATTTGGGTAAACCTAACAATAAAGAAATACTTCTTACTCTATAGCAACCAACCCTTACAGATTCATCTCTCAGTACAAAAGCAACCTATGTGCCAAAGATCAGAATCTCTAACAGCGGTGGCCACTGGGGACATGCCAGTACCCAGCCAATCTTCTCACATCCTGTAGCAGCACAGGTGACAACGGGCAGGAGGCCACAACCTGTACTCTGTTCTTTTGTTGATAAGAATCTGCTGGAAGAAAGACTACTGTCGACATGGACAGAGGACATGTTGTAGTATGTTTATAGATAACTCATCTCAAAGAACCAGTTACTAGATTTTGCTCTTGGCTATTAGCAGCCAGTTCCCTCTAAACTGAACTAAAGTTAAGATCATTTTATAAGAAAGTAGATAGCAGGGGCTATTATTGAAAGCTGATGTTGAATTGTACATACAGAATCTCTCTTCTATTTGGCTTTGTATGTTAAACTAGGTTGCTATGAAATGCCTTCTACAATTGCAGTAGCAGTCATCCAGTCCCTACCTAGACAGATAGGTTCAAAGGTACTGGCTTCTTAGCTTCCCAAGAACACCTGAAAGACTTCAAGATAGAAGAACAGAATACTAGGACTTGGTCTCCTCCCAGGCATAGAAAGCTGTGGACATGCCTGTCACTGAGACATGACTGCAAGATGAGCAGATCTTGGAAACCTGGCAACTTAGCTTCCATCATTCTGAATTATATACGGGAAGCAGGTCCTATATCTCTATTAAGGGCTTGGTGTCTTTAAAAACCCAGAAGAAATTTAACATGCTACTAGATTCTGCCGGATGAAGAACACAGTAACGTTTCACAACCACAGATGGTAAAAAGGAAGAGAACACATAGTATGGCTCAACACTCCGTGTCCTCTCCTATAGAAAGTAAGGCAGCACAGGTGCAGTCGCAATAGACCCTACACAAGAAGGATAATCTGGCATGCATGGGGCCTTTACAGTACCTGGAAGTGGTGTCCTATGCTGCAAATGAACTGCCTCCCAAAGCAGAAGCACTAGCAATGAGTGGACTATTTGACTTAGGAGCAGGCCAGATGGCTCTTGTTACTCCTCAATAAAAACTAGCCCTCTTGAAGCACCCCATAGACAGGGCTAGACTGCTTTTAGTTTAGGTGGCACGCTGGGTAGCACCATATGCTTGAAGGCACTGACAACTGGCTTAGTGATTTTATCTATGTAGATGTGGTCCAACATGGACAATTTCTCTAAAAAGAAATACACAACTATAACTTCTTTGGGGAACACATCCTTTCTAAAGCCTAACAAAACAGGCCCTGACATAAATGTGGTTGGCATCTGGGTTGCTACTATGTTACTGCTATCATTTATGTTACTAATGAAACACTGCTATGCATGAGTGCATCCATTTGCTGATCAACTGCCCCCCACTGTGAAATCATGTTCTCAACAGCTATAAAAATGGTATTTCTTTTTTTTTATATTACCAAGGAAAATCTCTTGTACTTCATTACAGGGGGCACTCTCCAAAAGTGTGCATTTAACATCCACATACCATGCATCTACATTATCCTCCTTTCACTGTAACGTACTGTGATTTTATGTACCCTACAGTTAAGTTTTTGTGATTAGTTAGCAAGCTGTCACCAGTTACTAATAATTTAGTAAGTGCTATATTTAAAAATATCATGTGCAAAGTTCAAACATCTGCTAGCATTTAGTGCCAGTTCAGATAAATTAGTTATTTTCTAGATGTTTTCAGATGTTAAGATATTACTTGAGTGTGTTGAAACATGAGTATTTTCTCTCTAAAAGAGCATAACAAATAATATATATAATTAATATAGTGTTATCCATTTAAGAGTATTAGAAAAAAATACACCACAAACTCCACCACTTGAACAAACAAGAGTTAAAGCAGGCAAAACAGCTCCTTCACATGCTGGTGTTTCAGTCTGTTTGTAGACAGACTATCTTATTCTATGATGAACCTGAAATCCTTTTGCAATCAGTGTTCCAATTGTAAATTGGTATTTTAAGAATCTTTACATTAAAGTTTTAAATGCAGCAATAAGAAAGCCAATGGAGCTATTTCTGCTTGCCTACACTTTAGAACTCACCACATGTTCAACACTTTCTGGCAGCTAGGCACAAAAAAAATATAAGGAAGAAAAGAGAATCAGAACACCATACAGTAGAAAGTCTACATTTTCATATATGAGACTTGTATTCAGAACAGTTATTTTAAAAAAGAGAAAAAAACTAAAGCAAATATTCTTACCAAATCTAATTAAATAAATAGGAAAGGGAAATACATATTTCACTAAAGGTAAAGCAGGCACATTTTATCAGCGTAATATAAGTGTAAACTAATATTATTAACAGTCATTATGAGTAATGCACATTCTAGCATTTAACTAACTAAAGCTAAAATTAAGTTTAAAAGTAAATATCAAAGTATTTAGCCACTCACCAGCTGTAATTAGATTTAAAATAGATTTCAGTGAAAGCATTTGAGAGCAAAAGGATTTTGAAATAAATATGAAGTCAGTGAAATTCTGACAAGTTGAACACACAGGATCAAAATGCTGGCTGGTAAAATTTAATAGAAAAGAAAAATACATACTTTGTATCATCCATTACTTCTACTTCTGTGGGGGCGGTGATAGGAGCATTTGAACGACCTGCAGTTGGGTCATCTGTGTTCAATTCTCCATTTGTTGAGCTCACCACCTGCAATAACCAGAAATATTTTAATAAGTTATACAAGTGCACATTCACATGTATAAGATTCTTGAAGTTAGTAATAGAGTGAGAAATCGCAATTAGTGCTATTAATATATTAATCTTATGTACTGTTATGAGTATGTGAACTTTGCTTCATTCTTCTACCTTCCTGACTTTTCCTTCAGGCTGTCCAGGCTGCAGCCAACAACCAGCTGATTGTCAGCCGGACTGCCCTGGGTGAACCTGCCCTGAGACTATCCAGGTTTTGGGCCTGTCAGGAGCCCTAACAGGCAGACCTCCTGCCAGGGGGACACACCTGCCTGGGGGCTTTGATTGGCAGCTCTTAGCCCAGCTAATGAACCAGATGGCCACTGCCAGGGCCTCCTGATTGGCTGCTGGGAAGAGCAGCCTCTCCAGTTTAGTTCCACCTGTGGCACCAGGCTGCATGCTAGCCAACAGTTCTCCTGAAGGTATGCTCTGGTAAGCCTCTCTGCTATCCTCTCTGGCTTCCTGATTTTCTGTCTCTGCTCAGCTGTGTTTCTGGACTCCAACTTTTTGGATTTCCCCTTGAATTTGGTAACTCAGCTTCTGACTCCTGAACCTTGACTTGTCCTATGACTCAGACTCTAAGATTTTCCCCTGGATCTGGTAGCTTGATGTCTGACTTCTGAATCTTGACTTGGCCCATGTTTTGGACTCTGCTTCTGGGTTCCCCTCTTGGATCTGGTAACTTGGTCCCTGATTACTGACAGCTGGCTCAGCTTGCAATCTGGACTTTACTCCCTGTTCCTGCTCTCCTCCAGGACAATCCCTTGATTGTCCACCCCGGCCCCAGGACAGTCCCAGGTCACACTGAGCTGCAGACACCCAGCTTCCAGCTTGCCAGTGCAGGGAGAAACCTAGGATCAGGATCCCTGGCTCACTGTGTACTGGCAAGTAGAAAGGGCATGACTGGCATTTGACCCCTGATTCCACAATCATGCCTCCTGCTATGAATGCGTAGCATGGTAGGAGATGCAAGTGTTAGGATCAGATCGCAGAGAAACTTTTAATTGAACACGTGCCAGGGGCTTAAGAAAAGGAACAAGTGTCAGGCCTTCCCCCCCGCCACTCTTTGCATGATACTGACAGAAGCCAATAAAATTAAGGCACCTCTAACTTATCTCTGTCTTGCATGGCACCTCCAAATTTGTAAGCAGAGTGCCCTTTCCCCAGCAGAACCAGGTGGGTCATTAACAAAGGAACACTCATCAAGGAAGGAAAGACTGCTGGTTGCAGGATGCTGCAGGAGCCCTTACTGTTACCTAACAAATAGAAGTATTTCTACCTTTAACACTCTAACACCTCTTCTTTTAAATTCCTTTAACTCCCAAAACATCTTGGTTCTCTCAGGATTTTTAACAAGTAAGCCTTCTCAATTCAGTGATGGGGTTATTCTGATAATGCAAAGGACAGTGGTATAAGGAGAAGTCAAAGCTGTGTCTAGGTTTAGGAAGGCTGCATCAGCAAAAGGATGCAATTCTGTTTAGGTAACACAGCAGCATAGGTCTGCAGGATATATATGTAACACTTAACATGGAGCCAGTGCCAGAACAGCAGATAGGATGTGATACTAGAAGAGGTACATCAGGCATGTCAGCATAATAGGCAAGGAAGATGGTCCAAGAGCTTCTGCTTCAGGAGATTCTTTTAATTTAGTGATTGAGGTAGATGCAGTAGACCTCTGGGGGCTGTGGAACCATCAACATGCTATTCATCTCCCCTGTCTTAGAAGTTCTCAAAATATAGCCCCTTAGAAGATGTAAACAGAGCTGTTAACACTTCCTAATATGAAACCCTGTTTTCAGGTGCTTATTAACTTTGCCAAACTTGAAATATTTTGAAGTGGGTGAGATAGGGAGATCCTGTCACTAACCACTGAGTGCAGCCAGCCACTGCTGTTGCATGGGACTGCAGCAGAGGGCCCTTGAATAAAATGGGTGCCTGGCCCAGATGCGGCCAGTGATTGACAAGCCTGGGGCAGAAGCAGTGGATCAGGTGACCCAGAGAGAGACATAAGCCCAGGGCCTGAAGCAAGGGGTTCAGGCTGGCCCTGTAGGCTGCAGAAAGCAAAGCTCCAGGGAGGAGCCCAGAGCTTGACCAGACAAGGAGGAAGGACTCCAGGCTGCAGTAAGCCCTTGGACCACCAGGCTGCCAAAGATAAGTATTTTGGGGCTTTGTGGTAGTTTTGCCATGGTTTGGCATTAACCCAGGATGAAAACCCTGTTAGTTTGAAAGCAGATGCTATCTTTTTATTTGCGTTTAAATATTGGAGGACCGGACTGTGGCAAAGGAGGCCACCACGAAAGATGCCAATGGCACCTCCAGGTCCTAGACCCTTTAAAGGATCTAGCACTACTCTTAGCAGAAGGACTGTGGGGTTAAACAACAAAGACTGGTGGCACAAGCCCAGAGCCCGTGAGGGTGAGACCACAGGCCAAGGGACCCACAGCCAGGCCCAGGAGCCTATGATTTTGAAACAATGGACCTCAGGTAGACAGACCCAGCCAGAGCAAAGTGGGCCAAGGCCAGGGGGTCTCAACCCAGACATGGGTCTAAGATCCAAAACCCACCTGCCCTATAGGGGCAGCCCAGGTGTTCAATCATAACATCAAAGTACAGCAGGAAAGACAACAGAGTGGGACCCTAAGACACCAGAGGGGGCAAGCAAGTGGGGGGGGGGGGGGGGGGGGAGCCCCTGGGCCTCTAGGGGGTGATTTTGCTGCCCAGTGCCATATCTGCTACAGGGGGAAGAGGTACTGATGAACAGTAGGGTAGGCCAGGACTAGGGAGGACCTGCACTAACAGACAAGAAGCCAAAGAATCATTACTAGAATGAAACAGGAAGAAACAAAGATCTCTAAACACAATACATCTTTAGGCTAGTCCCATAACCTTTCTTTTATGCATTCTATACTTTTTCTTCCCGACTCAAATTCACAATAAAGAACTATAAATGATTGGGAAATAATCCTTTGTTTTGCTGCAGAGCTGAAACATGCTGTATGTGCTTGTAAGCTGAGATACGTGAGGAATTTGTTAGCACACCTGTGCTATCTCATTTTCAATACATAATCATTCAAAATTAACCTTGGTTCTTTGTAAAACACGATAATAATTTATGCAGGAGCTTTTTTGGCCATCTATAAAGGTATGAAGATGCTAATATGCTGTTTTACATGCTGTTTCTTGAAACAAATGTCTCTTGTAACTCAAAGCACACCTATTCTCATTATGCCAGAAACTCACATTTTCAAAGGTATTTGTACTATAAAAACACATTCCCAAGTTTCCGTAGTTCAGTGAGAAGCATTAATTTTACTTCATATCCCCACCATCTTTCTACGGATATGCTGTGATGGAAATGGAGAACCATATAGGAAGAGTCTGTACTACATTCTGTTCTCTTCTGAACTATCCTTTGAAAGGTGGTGCCTGTACAAAATACTAGGGCAAACTAGTAGTATTTTTCATCGTTTCAAAAACGTAATCTTGTGAAAACAATATTGTAAGTGCTTCCTAAAAATCTGATTACTATGTGGAATGAACTTCCTACATTTAGTGGGTTTCTTGGCTAGCTGAATAAAATAGCAAATGATGAAAAAAACACCAAACAACAAACAGCTTAGTAAGGTCTTTGCATACAAGCACTTTAGGCAGTTGTAAACAGTGAAGGAGACAATTAATCACTGTTATTCAGCTGACATTTTTGGGAACCAAGACAAACTTTTGTGAAGCAAGGACCTGGGAGGTTGATTAATGAAATACTGTAATGTACAGTAGGATGCTTTCATTAATAAAGTTAAGAAAACCTCGGGAAAATAGACGGTTGAAGACTCAACATTTTCAATATATTGCTACAAATATAGGTAAGTGGAAGAATGGGTGTGGGTATTTTCAGAAGAGCTAAAGACTTTCCTTCACAGCTCACATTGTAAGCTATCACATTAAAATTAGAACTAAATAACAAAATGCATTCATTTCCATAGACAGCTTGCTCAAAACATTTCTGGGTCCTTCAGAAACAGAATACAATTACCATAACCAATAAGACAATTTGTCCAACTTCTCTAGCAATTTCCAAAATTCATTTCCTACTTTGAAAAAAAGTGTTTACATTCTAAATACTAGTCTAAAAACATATGCATTTCCATAAATACTTTTTTATATAAACAAGTAAAAAAACCAACAAAATAAAGCTTTTAGATAGTAATTTAGAGCAATTAAACCAGTGCTTTCCAACCTTTTCCTCAGCATGAGGCAATTTATGACCCCATTTCCTCAGCATGGCCCCCTCACTCCCCACCTGCAGCCCCCTGACTATTTTGATTCTTACCGCCTCAAATCTCCTAAGAATTGCTTCATCTATGTACATGCACTCAGTGAAATATATTTGAAGGAGGAGGGGAAAAAAAGAAAGTTGAAAAGAGACTAAAATACAGTGTCATTGAAGAATTAAGAAAAACAACGATACTAAAGATAAAAGAAGAAAATTCAATGATTGGCTGTAACTGGATTATACTGGGGGGTGGAATATCAATGCAGATATAATAGAACACCATTTGTTTTAGATAAAATCCAGACTGGCCAATCTCTAAATTTAGGTACCAGTAATTTAATCCCATCATACTAGTGTTTATAAATAAGAAATATGCTGGATGGTGTTGATAAACAGATTCAGTGGTTTGGTGGCTGCCAAAAAAACATGGAGCTGCTATTTCTCAGAACATACATGCAAAATATAAATTAGTAAATGTAAAAGCTGCTGTGATGGGTAGGATTATTTATTTAACAGAACTGGGTTATTTTACTCACAAATAGAGGCACAAACACAAATTGGATTTCTGAACGTTCTTCATTCACTATATTTAGCAATATTCTTCCTAGATCTCAAGAGGCCATACATCCCACTGATATCTGAATATTTTTGTCTGTCCTTGTTACAAGCTACATCAAAAGCTTCTATCAAAAAAAAGTCAGAGAAAAACCTTTATCTACAATTTTCTACTTTGCGATTTTGATACCATCTGGTATACAGTTAAAATTCACTATTTCTGGCAAAATAGTTTTTGCCCTCACAATGGGCCTCCTTATCTAGAGTAAGCCAAAAAATACATTGAATTTGTAGAGGCCAAGGTTCCCTCTAAGTCGCACATGCGTACAGCTGTGCACAAGAAAAAATCCTGCCGCGCAGTAACTTTTTCAAGCCACACACCCGCCCCAACCCAGCCACAGGCTGCTGCAGGAGTGGGGAGGGGTGGACACACTGAGATACCCGCACACTCCTAGCCAGGATCGCAGCCACAGGTAAGTTTCACTGGGGGGGGGTGCTGATCAAGAACCCCACAGTGCAGGATGGGGTGCAGTAGGGGCAGGGTGCTGCCCCGCTCCCTCCTGCACTGTGGGGATTGTCGTATGACCTGGCCTGGATGGGATCCCATTCACCATGAATGACGCCCCAGCCAGGCTAGGGCAATCGAAGCCCAGCAGTTTGTCCAGGGGTGTGGGTGGGCAGCTGCGGCTCCCATTGCTGCGTGCACGGTGGAAGAGGAGGAGCACATCCCCCTCTACCCGCCGGTGTCCCCATGTCACGCCCCTGGACGAGCCACTGGGCTCTTGATTGCCCAACGACCCAGCCCGGAGCCTGGCAGCCCCTCCAGACGTGCAGCGCAGGCAGCCAAGTGAGGACATGTGGCCCACCCCAGCCCCCAATCTTCGCATGGGGCAAGGGCAAGCAGGATCAAGGTGCAGTCAACCTGATGCTACTATCAGGCCATTTCTGCACAGGCAGTCTGGTGCTGGCTGCCCCCCAGTAGTTCCTTTGTGTAACAACCATGCAGGTTCTCTGTAGGTTGGAACACCAGTTGCAGGGCATGATTTGGAGGGTGACACCAGGAAACACCAGGTGCTTGGGAAATTTTGCAACAACTCCGAGCACTTGAGAAGAGCAGCACTGAGTCCACAGCACTTAAAATAAAGATCCAAGTTGCTGCAGCCCAAACAGAGGCTTTCTTATCATAGGGCTCTGTGGGGGGCAGTGGCTGAAACCACAGTGAAGAGCATGTGATTTAAAAGAGGGCAGCATGGAGGGACTTAGATTTCCAGTCCAAGGACCTGACAGCAGCTGGGAAACAGTGGCAGAAAGAATTGACCATGGACACACAGTGAATAATGGCAGGCACAAATGGGAAAATGAAAGTAAAATGTTTCCCATTACCACTGAGATAAAGAGAGTGCAAACACTTTCTTCTCCAAGAGGCTCAAAACATTAGAACAACTGATGTTTGGACCGAAGCGGCGCACGATGAAAGGGGGAGACAGGACCAATTTGGGAATGGACTGAAGCAGCATGCTCACGGCACGCTCAGGGACCGAAACAGCGCACTCACGGACCACTACATCGTAGAGGAAACATTGGTAGGGGTATCATACCAAAAATTTCTCTCATATATTTTTTTAAATGACATAAAATTACATAACTTTAAAAGTACCTCAAACTAAAAACCACTGCTATTAGTTACTTTCCACGTTTTTTCTTTTTACCTGGGTAAAAGTGTAAAGCACTGCATTGGCACAAGTCATTCAAATGAGCTAGTATTAAATAAGCTTGTATAAAAATGAAATCATTTTAATTAAGTTACATTCAACCAAAAACACGACAAGACAGAATCTTGACTATTTATTGGTTTAAACTGTCTAATTAAATTAATACTGTGTTAGTTGCAAATGTAATAAAAAAAATTAAAACTGTTTGGTTTACTACAAGGGTGCTCAACACCTGCCCCACAGGCCAGATCTAGCCCATGGGGCTCTCTATGGGCTCAGAAATATGGTAACACGGGAACTGTGCCAATTAACACTGCCAGAGCTCTGCCACCAATTTTTCCAAGCCCTGTGTGGCTGGATTGGGCCCCAGCTGGGCCAGCACTGTGCTGGATTCAGTCCATAGACCAACCTGGCACTGCTCATCAGCTGTAGGCAAAAAGGGTGAGAACCTCTGGTTTACTAGAGCAAAGTATTTTTAGAAAGCTAGATTACTTGCCTACTACAGGCATTTGTAGGAATAGTTTAAGCAGAAATTCAACAAACAAAAGGAGCCAAACTTTGTGCATAATGTATTTCTATTTGGAAACTATAAAACAAGAAAGAAGAAAATGCATGTAAATGACTATTAGGAAAACTTTTCAGCTGAAAAGTGGATTCATGCCATGAATTAGAGGGGAGCATGGTCACAAAATGTGGAAGTAATCAGTCATGCAAAGAAACAGAAAATACCTGTACCGAGCCACCATGTCTGTCAGCTGCTAGGTGAGCTCTCAAGTGATGGGGGTTGGCCTGCTGGGAGTCCCACGCTGCCCTGTGGTCTGTTGTCTGCCAATAACATAATGCATTAAGCATACATAGATAAGGAAAAAATCCCAACTATTGTATTACAAACAAGCAATGTACATAATATGTGAAATAAAAATCACATGGGAGAACAGCATATATAGACTGAATCCATCTATGTATATACATATCCAAGTATAAATACTTGGTATAATAGTTACACTTAAGTCTCACTATTATACCAAGTACGGAGGGGCTGAAAACCAGAAGTTTCAAACATGAAATACTATGGACAAGTGTTACAGCTGTTGCACTAAATGTGCCCTTGTAGAGCTACAAAAAGCAACTGTATAGTTGTTCAAGCTGTTTGAAGAACTACAATGACACAGAGTGCTACAATAGTGGTATTTCAAAAAGAAATTTCTTAATTTGGTAGCACTACCTATAATGCCTATACAGGTACAAACAAGCCCTTGCTGCACATTACATATATGCCATGCAGCTATAAAAAAAGAGCCAACCAGTTATAAAGTCACTGCTTAAAAAGTGTAACAACTCTATCTCTGGTTACTATCCAGCTTTAATTTGGACACGTACTGGGTCACAGCGTTACAAGGGTCTCTAGGACTTCCAGCATCCCACAGTCCGCTGTTCTCCCTCCCCTCTCCAAGGAGAAGGGAGGGAGACCAGCTGGCCTCTTGATAGCCTGCCAGTGCCAACCTGTCAGGGAGCCCTGCTAGGACCCTGCTACCACCACACCCATGGTTTGATGCTACCTAGTACCATATTCACTAGCTTCTAAAGAGAAGCCCCCACCATTTAACATGTGGGAGAAAGCCCCTTCTCTTTAATTGAGTACAAAATGGGGTGGGAGGGCGATGGTGGCTGCCTACCATCTTTAATTGAGTACAAAATGGGGTGGGAGGGGGATGGTGGCTGCCTCCCCCCCCCTGCTGCCTCTGCACCCAGTGGTAGATTAAGATTTACTGGGGCCTCCCCAGTAAATACAGAGAACTGAAGGCCCCCTACACTCCATTATAAGTATGAATGTCTCAAAGCATTAATAAATAGACCTGTTAAATGTTTACATGGTGCATGAATAAATAAAGCACAACATGCAATGACTACTTAATTTTGGCACACGCAAAACTGAATAAAACAACTGCCTTAGGAAAATGACTCAGATGCATGGGATAGCCATAAATGTGTAATAACGCGAATTGAATGATATTTTTGGTTCAGTGGTCATGTAGACTCTTGTTTGCCTTCTTTTTTAAATACACATTTTACATTGTACCTACACTACAGTAAACAGCAGTGCAGGTCAGCAGGGATTGCCTCCCCCCTTTTGTCTGGGAGCTGGGGTGACTCCAGCAGTCACCCAGAGTCCCGCAGCACTCAGCCCATATGGCCCCAGCTCCCAGACAGTGAGCAGTGCCCTGCCAAATCACACTGCACCTGCGCCATGGGGCAGCTGCCATGCAGGCACCAGGTGGGGGGGGGGGAGGCGGAGCAATCCCCACTGCCCCCACTGTGTGGGGAGGCTCTGCCATGAGCCCCCAGAGGCCCTGATTGCCACTGCTGCAGCCAGTGAGTGTGATGCTTTTTTTTTTTTTTTTTTTTTAAGTGCTGGGAGGCTGGGGCAAGGCAGGGCAGCCATGGGGGCTTCTCCTGTGGTTCCCTCCACCTGAGGAGAGGCAGGCACAGCCGGAGGAGCCAAGGGAGAACCTGCAGCCACCTGATTGTGCCTGCCTCTCCCTGGTCAAATTGAAACTCTGAATCTATTCGGAAGCTTCAGAATCAATTCAGATCTTTTAATGGGTCTCCCGATTTGTTTCAGATTCAGAGATTCGGCTGCTGAATTGGGCCAAATCTCCTCCGAATCGAATCGGCAACCAAAGCTTCACGCAGTTCTCTTCCCCACTCTGCGTATCGCTCTACCCAACTATGCATATAGCGCTGGGAAGCCCAGCTCCCCCACTCTCCCAGCCATATATAATTTCAAAAATATTGTGACCTGAAATAAGTAACCTAAAAAATACACTGCCTTCAAAACATTCTCCAACCATACAGTTTTTGTCCATTATCATCCATAAAAGTCCTTTCCTCTTTCATATTTCCTGGACCATCATAGCTACAATATCACTCTAGCAATACTTCAAAAATAAAGTGTCCTAAAAAGTCGCTGTAACAAAGAAGATTCATGCATTTAACAAGCAATATTCAGGCAAAAGACAGATGTGCATTTGAAGTGCTCTGAATCTTGGAGTGCTTCAAATTCAGCATGTTTCAGCACAGCGCATGCACACACCATCACTGGGGCTAGAGAGGAGGAATCTCCACTACCCAGCACCACAACCCCTTCTTCCCAAAGAGATGAGAGATGGGGCACTGTGGGATGCTAGAGAACTATAGGATCATAGAGATATTTCACGATGCGTTTCAAAATGAAGAAGAACATTTTAATTTTTCCTGAGGGTCATTCTGCAGCACTACTTTGGCCCTGCATGTCTGTACCTTGTTGTTTGAAATGTTTCAAACAATACTTCTGCCCATGGCTTCAGAAATCAAAGCTACAGGGACAGCAAAAACTGATACCAGTTTTATTTTGGAATCCAATGACAAACAATAACTGCTATTTCAATACAAAGAACAGCAATTTATAAGAGAAAATAAAATGATGATAAGAATCTTTGAGCAACATACCTGATTTTTAGATTGCTGGATCTTATCTCTATGCTGATGTGCTTCTCTGTTTGATGATAACGCAGGGTCTGAATGAATTGAACCCACTGGAGTAGGCTACAAATATAAACATTATGTAGCAAACTGGTAAAAAAAATAAATGTTCTCTAAGTCTTACCAATAATTATTGAACTGTAATCCAAAATAAAAGTGTTTCTAAGTCTGCCTTAAATTTGAGAAGTGAGCATATAAAACACATCACCCAATGAAATGGAACCCCTCTCTTCTCTCATCACTAATACTAAAACTTAAAGTCTCGATTTCACTCTGGCCCATCTAAAAATGTAATGGCAGCTTCCTGTAACACAATTACTTTAATATTTCAATAACTTTGAATTATAATGAATTTACAATCGTGCTTAGAAGATACTCTAGATTGGTACGAAAAAACCAATGGAGTACATTTCATGATTAATTTCTATCGGCTTATTTTTTAATTTACCAATACTCTAGCCAGAAGTGATGTTCCCAATCTAGTTAAAGAATACTGTATTCCATTTAAATTGACTTTAGTTACTGAGAACTTCTAAACATTTTTGTGCAACTCTCTTTCAAGTTGAAATTTCCTATAATTAGTCTCTGTACTTTCAGATAAATTTTTGGAAAGTTTGGGTGGGTGGGAAAAGCCATTTTAACACGAACAAAAAAATATGTATTTCCATTATATTAATCGTGCAACATCCATTGAAACATGAATGGCAGAGAATTCCAGTGATGCATATGAATAGTTCCAGATGGTGGAATTTACACAAACACCTCAAAATTTGGAAAACCCAACAGAACTTCTAAATCCTGAAGAATGAAGCTCAAACATTTATGTATTTATTTAATTTTTAAAGATGGAAGAAAAGCTACAAATCAATTAGGTTAGCTGAAATTGACTAGCAGCTGAGTAATCAAAGGCAGGATGTGTCAAAAGATTTCACAAGTAACCTTATCTCCCTCTCCCTGTAAATGTATTACAATAAATTATTTACAATCTGCTATCATCCCAAACGCCCTAGTACACTTTCACTATAATGTGTGTTGCATTTTGTAATACTACATGTACACCATAATCCATTAAAATGATGTAATCTGAAGCGCAGTCATTTTCCAGTTGACACATTTTACTAAAATTAAACATCTTGAACAGGTGTCCCTCAAGCTACCTTTTATTACCATCTCTTCCCTGCCTATATTAACTTTATGCAAGCAAAGAAGGTTTGATGGTAAAAATATATTTCCTTTTGTCCTTTGTTTCACATCTGAACATTTCCCAAGATGTGAAACAGAACAAAAAGACAGTCACATTGCCTAGCTAGTATATGAGGGACCTGATCCATGAACTGCTCCCTGGCAACTACTGCAATATAAATTAACGTAATTTTTGCACACAATCAGTATTAAACAGAAGACTAATTATGCTACAAAGGCAAGCACTCTAAAGCTCATCAGTACCAGATTTATGTTTGCCCAGGTTGCCCTTAATTCAATTATAATACAGAGAATATAAACTGCTGGCATGCTAAAAATGTGAAAGTTATTAGAAATGTAAAAGTAAACAAAGATCTAATTAGTAGGGCAATATAATTAGTAAGACTAATAAAGAAGAGTTTATAAGATGGTATTAACACTTTCAGAACAAATCCATATTTGGCTTATATAACTGTAAAAAATGAAAGCTTAGAATTTGTAAGATATTGCAGAACGAAGAAAAACTTGTGTTGAGACTTGGGCTGGCTGAAAATGTTTATGGGTTTTCAACTACAATTTTTGTGGAAAGTGTTTGGGTTTCTTCAAAATGTTTTGGTGCTTGGCCCCAAACAAAGCTTTTCTTCAGTTTTTTTCAAATCAGTTATTTTCTTTAACAAGCTAAATTATGTAGAACCATGACTTTGTCCAATGTCTTCCATTGTTTCAGTAGTCTGAGAGAGAATTTTTAAAAGAAAAAAAATGTTGGTGTATAGCTGTGTCTCACAGACCCTCAGAAGCTCTTTTGATCAAACTGCTCCAAAAAGCTTGAAAGCATCAGCCTATACCCCTGTCAAACTGACCAGGAAGGATGAATATTTTGATGCCAAAATGGTAAAGACTTTTGTATAGTCTCTGTCACAAGAAGTGCCGTGCTAGGTCAGACCAATTGTCCATCTAGCCCAGTATCCCATCTTTCACAGTGGCAAAAGTAGATGCTAGAGGGAGATCATTGAACTGAACAGATCTAGAGCAGTGCTTTTCAACCTTTTTTTATTTGTGGACCCCTAAAAATTTTGAATGGAGGTGTGGACCTTTTTGACTGTAAGTGTGGGTATTCACATAATTCTGATTGATCATAGTAATCTTTTGTGAACCCCTTAGACTTAGTCTGAGGACTCCCAAGCATCTGCAGACCACAGGGTGAAAACTATTGATTTTTCCCCTATTCATTACCCTCCCTGGCATTCACCATTATTAGTTTAGAGATGCCAGAGAAAACAAATCTCCAACCATTCTGTTCAACAACTATTAATAGATCTATTAATCAACAGCTACTAATAGAGTTATAATAGCTCTATTATCAACACAAAGCATGCAGTGTGTTATCTATTATCAACAGCTATTAATAGAGCTATTTATATATACTATAATGTGCAGATGCTCAGAAGTGATTTTTAAATTGCTTAAAAACAGAAAAAAAAATCCCCAAACCAAAAGTAACACATATTATTGCAGAAGATTCTATCCATTCAAAAGTTAAATTAGTATAATTCCTCTACAATTCTTCTACTCAAAAAGTTGCTAGAATTCTACAACCTCCTATTATAAAATCAAGTGGGATTTTGCTTTCTTTTAAATAAAATTGTCCCACACTGGGAAAAGGCTCAATATGAAAAAACTTAGGGCTAAAAGGTTGCCTTTCACAAAGTTAAGAGCTTGTGGAAGTGGTATTATAATAGAAACTGTTTGTAATTTTAATAATTTGACTTGAGATTCTTTATGCATCATATTTTTTGTGTCCTGGAAAAGTCAAGACTAATTACTATAGCTAAAAAAAAATGATAAGACTAAGAATACAGCATCTTATTAACAGCTTAACTGTACTCACCAGCTGTTTGCCAATCCAGTCATATTCATAATCAAACATATAGCCCTTCCGATCAAATAAGTCTGTAAAGAGCTTTCTTAAGTAGTCATAGTCCGGTTTTTCAAAAAAATCTAGCCTTCTTACATAACGTAGGTATGTAGCCATTTCCTCTATACAAATAAAAAATGTTCACAATTGCCATTTGTGTTTAAAGACTAAACAATTCCATTTATTATTCCATTTTAAAGCAACTTAAATAACTTAGGTTCACTTAACTTAATATATAAGACCAAGAAGAGATTTGTATCATGGTACTTCAGCGATTTCCCAGAAGTTTAATTTTGATAATCTACAGAACCCAATTCATTTAATCTAAAAAACTCAATCCTGGATAATATCATATACTCAATTAATTTTGTGCTCATAAATAGTTCATTGAACCCATGGAACCATTCATATATTGAAGTGTTTTCATGATAAAGGCTATGTTGGCTGAACAAATTCCCAGCCTATGAATGGGAAGCATATGAAAAATAATGTTTTTCATCCAAGATTATTAAATACAAGAGGTGTATATGCATAGAAAATATTTTTCTATTTTTTTCAGTTTTATTTACTGTGTCTATTTGTTAGCAATGTGTGATTTGTCCTATTCACCTGTTTTGTTGTGTAGTATATCAGTTTCCCCTGTTTATGTCTTTTACACAGAAGTAAAGGGATTTTTGAAAAAACATATACCAAAATAAAACTATGATGCCACAAAAGTGGCTAAAGGCAACTCAGAGGCAACACCAATTTTTGATACTATTTTAAAATTAATTTTGAGGAAACAATTTTCAACTTGTTGACAGGTCTCCTCTCTCTCAAAATAATAATTCAAAAATGCTTTAATCAATATTCTTATAGTTAAGATTACAATGCATTTTTCAAATCTAGGAGACAGGACACAAATGACACTGCAAACAACTAATGCACACTATAACAAAAATATGTATGCTCTCTCTCTGATAACCACCAGTGAAAGAAAACCACTATTTCCAGAGGATATTTCTTATATCCGATACCACACTATACTTTACATGCATTTGAAAGCTATGCCACTTAATAAATTAGGACTATATTTCTTATAGTCCTAATGTATTAAAAACAAAAATCCACACCAGCTTTACCTTCCATATGTATGCACAAGTTATTAACTGGCATTACCTGGAAAGTTCTCACACAATACTTCTATAGGTGTTGCTCGTTTTGTATCTCCAATTTTCTGATAGCGTTCTTTTAGGGTGTCAGCCTAAGATAGAAGAGAAACACAGAACTTCAGAAAATGTTTTAGTGGACAATTTTATAAAGGAATCAAGATCCAGCTGATAATTTGAAAGGAGAGAGAAAGGCTATGAACAACATTACCTTTAAACCTTGCCATGGGAGGCTTCCTCTGAGAAAATACATAAACATATGACCCAAAGCTTCCAAATCATCTCTTCTACTTTGCTCTGAAACATAAAATAAAAATATTCATAGAACACCAAGTCTACATGATACACTTCAATTTTAATTTAATTTAGAATTTTCACTATATTTAGAAGCTTACGGATGTAGAAAAATTAATTGAACAGCATACATTTGCCTACTGTGAACTAAAAGATTTAACCAAAAATGTCAATACAAAATAGGCTGATGCATTAATCTCAACAATGCAGCAAACAAGTCATTTTTCACATAGAAATTAATAGTATGATAAGTAAAAATAGTCTTCCATTGAAGGGAATTATTTCCTTCAGTCACTCACATTTTTTCAACTGTGTGTTTGCTGTGGGGGTGACACCACAAAACTAAAAGAATCTATAAATGGCTACCTATTTTTTTTTTGAAGAAGCCAAGGTAGGGAGGAGCAGGGGGAAGAAGGGAAGAAGTCTGACAGTAAGGTGACTTTGCAAATTGAAAATTGCCAAAGCTACCAGCTGCACCTTGCTCACCTATCTAATTGACCTTAAAATTGAACTGTGGATGAAATCATTCTGCAGTAACAACATTTTCTGTCTATGCTGGTTTACACTAGTCAGTCAACCAAAAAAAGAGAAATTACTTACCGTCAACTGTTGCCATTCAAAATATGTTGGCACATCCTCACTGTGGGCATGCATGCATGTTAAGCATTCAGACTTTTTGCATTAGCAGTAGTCCTGGGGTACACTGTAGCCCCACACCACCTCATGCCTTGTACTGAAGGCAAAGTGTGTACTTCCTGGTCCTGAGCTCCCTCGCAATGCCAATTATACACTGAGTGTGGCTGAGAAAGGGGAAGGAGGGCTGCATCAAAGTGTGCAGATGGAAGAGCTGCAATTTCTGACAAGAAACTTCTTTTTCTTCTGTAAGTGACTCTCCATATACATGTCTTCATCATGGCAACTCGAAAGAAGTTTCCATGTACCTGAGGATAGGCCTTGGAGTCCTGCAGGTAAAGAACTACTTTCCCAAATGCAACATCTAATCAGGAGCTTCAAGGAACTAAACTTCATATATCCATTAAGAAAACATAGTGCAAGGATGTTATGAAGACTGCATGGGCCCTAACAGAACGTATTCTGACAATGGACAGCAGTTCCACTTTTGCAATTTCACACCACAGCTTAAACGCAGTATGATATCCAGATAGTCTGCTAATATTACTGTGCCTTGAGATCTCTTGGCTAAGGAAATGAAGTCTGGCACATTGTCATGCAAGTACAGGTAAGAATCAAGACACGTGTCCTTGCTATCATCCTGAAGCAGCAGAATGAGTTCTCATAATTCAGTGGGAGATGCACCCTTTATGTCATGGGAAGTGCCAGTGGCTTCAGTGAACTCAAGATTCTTCACTGTAACCATATTTTTGAGTTAGAGTTTGGTTTATTCACCAGCTGACCTAGAGTACAAAAGACTAAAGTCGTGCCTCCTGCTGTTCCCAAGGCTAGCAGGGAGAGTACCTCCTGCTATAGCAAAATTTTGTGGGAAGGTATATTAAAGGGAGCTGGGGGCCAAGTAGTGACCTGAACTGTATGGTATAGCTAGCTGTCACAATGTCTTGTACCAACAAGTCTGATACAATTTGGGGCCATACAGACTGGAGACAGGGCTGGTGGAGGAGGAAACAAAGGGCGGCACTAAAGGTAATTGAAGACATCTACTGATCAGACCAGAAAACCTTTTTCCGCTACCTGAAACATGCTGCAGAATACTTTGTGCAGCTGAGGAATGTTTGCATTTCATAAAGCATGGATACTTTCTTGGCAATTCACAGGATGGATGTGCCAGCAAAGAAGGAGAAGAGGAAGAATGCTCAATATACCCATTGGTGATGGAATATATTTGGTATTTGAGTTCTCTCTTTGGAGCTAGTGCATAAATTCCATGACATGCAAGTTGGCCCCGGAGTCTGCAAACATGCAGTCCTTCAATTCATGCTCTGAAGAGCTTCAAACCCTCACATGGAAGATCTTCAATAGTATTTTGGAACTCTTTCAAATAACTTCTCTCTCAGATAGGAAGAAAGTCTCATAACTGCCACAGTCATGGATCAAAAGGCAGCACCTAGAGAGTTTCTAGAGGCATCTTCTTGCAAGTCTTTATTACCACTAGTCCCTTTGCAATAACAACTATAAGGGCTTTCTTCTAGGCCAAGGCTGTCATATATACAGCCTGTGGGCTAGATCTGGCCTGAGGAGCCATTGTATCTGGTCCACTGGGCTAAAGTTGGGCAGCGTAGCCAGAGGCATGACAGCAAGTGCGAGCTAACACAGCCCTGGTTGCCTTTCAGCTGCTTCACCCACTGCCACCACCATGGCCCCAGTGCATTGACCACCAGACCCATCACCACATGCTTAGTGCTAGAGTCAGCAACATGTGCCTCACATTACCACTGATGCTCAGGGCTCTGTGCCAGTGCCACTGTTTGCCCTGTGCCAGAGCCTGAGCTGGAACCAGTGGTTTGTGTCCCTGTATGCCATACCACCTTTGCATGTCCCATCCTTGAGCTAGAGTTCAAGCCAGGGCCCTAGGCCCCATACTCCGCATCACCACTGCATATCATAAAATTGTAGTAGAAAAGCCCCCATTCTACATTTCTCTTCTGGACACTGATATAACAGAAGCCCCTTCTTGCTTGCAACTCATCTCCCCCCCATTTTGTACATTTCTTTTTCCTTCTAAGTACTGGCAAAGACCTAGCACATTCATTGCATGGGTGTGGCAAGGCTCAGAGCAAGCCAGGCAGCTGAAGTGGCTTTCTGTAGGAGAAACCTTGAAACTACATCTACATATCAATTAAGCTGAGTGTCACTAAGGAAAATAAAAGAACTAAAATATCCACTGCAAAGACTGTAAGTATATCCTGGTGCTAATAACTCACTGTCCCCAGTAACCTTTGATCTTCACTACCTCACATTGCATTTTTATATATTTCTCACAGTGCATTTTTACATTTCATCAAATATTTATATTTTCATGATATATTTTTTATATTTCAACCAGCATGGTTTCATTAGGGGCAGGTCCTGTCAGACCAACCTGACTGACTTCTCCAATCAGGTCACAAAATCATTGGACACAGGTGTCGCAGTGGATGTAGTCTTTCTGGACTTCAGGAAGGCCTTTGACACTGTCTCCAGCCCCATTCCCAATAAAAAGCTAAGTGACTGTGGCATTGATGCCTATACAGTCAGATGGATTACAAATTGGCTGAGGGGTCATACTCAGAGAGCGGTGGTGGATGGATAATTTTTGACCTGGAGGGAAGTGGGCAGTGGGGTCCCCCAGGGCTCAGTCCTTGGGCCCACACTGTTCAATTTCTTTATTAGCGACTTGGACAATGGGGCAAAGAACAGCCTGTTTAAATTCACAAACACCACCAAGATTTGGGGTGAGGTGGGCACGCTAAAAGGGAAGGACAGATTACAGCAAGACCTGGACAGGTTACAGGAGTGGGCAAATGAAAATAGGATGGGATTTAATACTGACAAGTGCAGAGTGCTGCACTTGGGCAGTAGGAACCAGCAGCATACCTATAGGCTGGGGAACTCCCTTCTCAAAAGCATGGTGGCAGAAAGAGATCTTGGAGTCATTATGGACTCCAAGATGAACATGGGCCAATAATGTGAGAACACGATCAGTAGCGCTAACTGTACCTTGTCGTGCATCCACAGATGCATCACAAGTAGGGCCAAGGAGGTGATCCTCCCCCTCTATGTGACACTGGTCAGGCCACAGCTGGAGTACTGCATCCAGTTCTGGACACCGCACCTCAGGAGGGATGTGGACAGCATTGAGAGGGTCCAAAGGAAGGCCACTTTTATGATCCAGGGACAGTAGGGGAGACCCTACGAGGAGAGGCTATGGGACCTTAACCTGTTCAGACTTCGCAAGAGAAGGCTGAGGGGGGGACCTGGTGGCTGTCTATAAACTTACTAGGGGGGACCAGCAGGGTTTGGAAGAGACCTTGTTCCCCCGAGCACCTCCTGGAGTAACAAGGAATAATGGGCATAAGTTGCTAGAGAGTAGGTTTAGACTAGACATTAGAGGGGCACTACTTCACAGTCAGGGCAGCTAGGATCTGGAACCAACTTCCAAGGGAAGTGGTGATGGCTCCTACCCTGGGGGTCTTTAAGAGGAGGCTCGACATTTACCTGGCTGGGGTAATTTGAGCCCAGTTTTCTCTCCTGCCCAGGCAGGGGGTCGGACTAGAAGATCTACAAGGTCCCTTCCAACCCTACCTCTATGAATCTGTCTCAGCTTTACCATGGCATTTTGTATTTTATATTATAGACTTTTAAACCCTTAAGGAATGTACTCCCTGTAGAATGAAGTTATACCCTGGACCGCTGTTAAAACCTGCACTGAAATTGTAATTGTAAAGTGATAAAATCTGTTATATTGGGCAGTCCCTTGAATGCATGAGAGTATGAATGACAAACCAAGTACCTCTGGCTGTTAACTGACAATAGCCTAGCCAGAGGAATTTACCATTACAAAATTACTCTACAAGCCATTTTAAGCTAATCAAGCGAAAGAATTGATTCCTGGAACTAAGCACCCACTCTATTGACTATTCCTGTAACCCATGACAATACAGCCATTAAGTCAACAAGTCAAGGGTGGACTCCTGAAACTTCAGGTACCAGTAGGCAGAGATCCCTATGACTAACAGCTGTCATGGACTACTCAAAATCCATGTGGATCAGCGACCTCTGGATTGGGCAGCCAAGATGATGCTGGGGATCACAAGTCTACCTGAAAGGGATAAAAGGCAGTGAGCGTGACCCTCAGTTACTATACACTATACTACATGGGTCTGAATGAGCACACGTGTATGCATGCTAAGGTGACCAGTACCACCGATAATTCAAAGTTTGCATTTATGATTTTATTGGTAACTTCACATGTTCAATAAATGAGAATTTATGATGATCCCAAGAGTTGGTCCATTGTAGCCAACAAAATCACAGAACTATAGAAAATC